GGGCGGGAAGGGCTGCCCCGGGGTCCCCGGAGCGCCCATCACGGATTCTCAGGCTGGGGCGGGGTGAGGGCCAGCACAGGCCTCCCAGGTGCTTTGGAAGCAAGGTCTCCGGGCCCTGAGGGGGCTGCCTGTTGTTGGGAGAAGCTCTGTTAGCCTGAGTCAGGAGACCCTTGGGGTGTGTATCTGTGGGCCGAGTGCTGGGGGATGATCACCAACCCGTATCTTGGGGTTTAGAGATAGAGGAAGTTTCCAAAGGAATTTTTGGGGATCCCTGGGGGGCTCAGTGGTTGACCGCCTGCCTTCGGCCCAGGGCATGATCCTGGGGTCCGGGGATCGAGTCCCACGTCGGGCTCCCTGCAGGGAGCCTGCTTCTCGGTCTGCCCGTGTCTCTGCCTCCGTGTGTGTGTCTCTCATGAATAAATAATTTTTTAAACATTAAAAAACAAAAGAATTTTTATACGTTCGAGTAAACTCACAGGGTCCTGGGGGTCGGGCTGCATAGCCTGTTGCTCTCAGCACAGTGCTAACACCGAGGCGGCTGAGCTCTAGGGGAACGTCACTCGTCACTCGGTCTGTTTCCAGGACGCGTCTGCCAATGGGCTGTAAGTAGCAAAGAGATTTTTTTTAAAAGATTTTATTTATTCATGAGAGACACACGGAGAGAGGCAGAGACGCCCGCTGAGCCACCCAGGCATCCCAATAGCAAAGAGATTTAGTTTTTCTTTTGCTTTTGTCTCCCGCATCAGCTGAGGCCCCTCAGCTACTTCCGGTTGGCCCCCCTGAACCCAGGCCACCAGGGCAGGCTGCTGGGTCATTGGGTTTCCAGGGTCCAGCTCTGCTCTACTCCCCAAGAACTCTCGGAGGAGGGGGTCAGTTTATCCTCTGCCTGGGGACAGGGTCAAAGGGGTGCCGGGCAGCCTGAGTCTCTCCCGGCCATGAGCCTCAGGCCCGGCTCAGCCAAATTCCCGGCGGAGAACAGATGGCACATCCCAGTCAGAAACGAGGGAAGAAAGCGGCCTGAGGTGCTCTTCGGAGAGGGGTGGGCAGGCTCAGGGAAGCCACACAGGGTCCCATTTTAGGGCGAGAGGGTAGCATTTTAGAAGTGACCAGCCGGTCCCAGGAGAGCCTGCAGGAGGCAGCTCAAGGGATCCTGTGGAGGCCGAGAAAATTGAGGCCATTCCACTCTAAGTTCAGTGTTAGCACACGTGCAGCCATCCCAGGCCCCTGGGAATCAGAGGGGAGATTTACGTTACTTCAGTTACAGGAAGAAAACAGCTTAACGCCCTAGAAAGCCCCACATTAGAATAAAAACAGAGCCCAAGCCGGGGGCAGGAAGCCCCTATTAGAATGAGAACAGAGCTCACTGCCCTTGAAGGCCCCATATCAAAATGTGAGCCGAACTTGAGGAATTGCTCCGCCCCTCCTGGAGGTCCCCGAGACCAGCCCTTAAAACTCAGCTGAAACGCCAAGCTGGAGCTTGTAAATAAACCCTCGTGTGTTTGCATCGGTGTCGGCTCCTCGGTGGTCTCTCGGATTCGTGATCTTGGGCGCAACAATCGACACTCACCTGGGCTCCTGGTGGTCACCCCCAACCTGAGAACCTTTGGTGGGTGTAGGGGTCAAGCAGGCTGCAGTGAGGGGGTGTCCACTGCCACCCGCAAGCTTGCCGGCACTCGCCAGCCCCTCTTGGGTGCCTCCCCCTGTCCCCCTGAATCCATTTCTTCTGCCTTTTCCTAAGAGGCTCCCATCTTCCCATCTCACCCCCTACCAATGAGCGCAGCTAAGGGGCCTCCAGAAAAACCGAACAAGGTGAAAACCCGGGGTCCCTCCCCTGAGGAAGACAGGGTACTCGGCCCTTTCCGACGAGCGCCCGTGGGGACACTAGGCAGGCTCTGTCCACAGGAGACATCCTCACATGCTGAGCACAGCAGAGCAGCCCCCCCCCCACAGCCGGCCTGCCCCGCCGCCCCTCTGCCCCAGCGTCCGGGGCTGCGGGGTGACAGCCTGGGGGCGGGGGGGGGGGCAGCTCTCTGGGGGCCTGAGTCCTGCCTGCAACTGCCTTGTCGGCCCTAGGTCTTCCGTCCATCTGTGTTCTGCTCACTTATCAGCTCTCCTCCATCCCACCCGGGTCCCCGCCAGCAGGCGAGCAGGAGCAGGGCAATGCGGCCAGACGCCGAGGGCTGGGGAGGAGGAGGCACCCCGCCTGCCACGCCTACCACGCCCGGCCTGCGCCCCGGGCACCACAGGAGGAGCACCTGGGAGGAGCGCCCTGCCAGGACCCCAGACCTGGGGCGGGATGGCTTCCCCCTCCCTGGGCCCGTGGGACCCTGGCAGACCCAGCAGCCTGGGAGGGGCAGGCCAGGGGCAGGGGCCCCCCACTCCCACTCCCTCCCCAGAGGGAGACCCCCTCCACGGGTGGAGGCCAGGAGACCTGGGCCAGGACGCAGAGCTGACTTTGGCCACTGAGAAAGGTGGCGGCACCCGGGCACCTGGCGCTGAGACCTGGGAGTCCGGGCTCCTGACCTAGGGCGCCTGGCCCCTCGGCAGCCTGGGCAGGGGCCAGGGTGGAGCCAGAATCTGGGGGCGCAGCCAGGGCCAGGCCACTTCCGCCCGCCCCGCCCACCCGCTGCCCGCCCCGCCGCACCTGTGCTCGCCCAGGCCGCAGGAAATGGAAACTCAGAGCCCTGGGCTCCTCCTCCTCCCCCCCCGCCCCCCCTCCCCAGCTCCACCCAGCCTCCCTCTGCCCCTGGGCGCAGCCTGCACCCTCCCCTGGCCTCCCTGGAGGCAGACGCTCAACCACTGAGCCACCCAGGTGCCCTCTTCTTATTTAAAACATTATTTATTTTGGGGCAGCCTGGATGGTTCAGTGGTTGAGCGTCTGCCTCCAGCCCAGGGCGTGATCCTGGAGACCTGGGATAGAGGCCCACGTTGGGCTCCCTTGTAGGGAGCCTGTTTCTCCCTCTGCCTGGGTCTCTGCCTCTGTCTCTGGGTCTCATGAATAAATAAATAAAATCTTTTAAAAAATATTTATTTTTTAAGTGATCTTTGCACCCAACATGGGGCTCGAACTTACAACTCTGAGATCAAGAGTCCCATGCTCCACTGACCGATCCAGCTGGGTGCCCCTTCTTTTGTTTTGATGCTGGTCTGACCCACTCGGGCGAATCACATGCCTACTGCTCACCGAGTCTCAATGAGGCTGCTGTGATATGCTTCTGGATCCTTCCACAAGGCACTGGTTGGGCCTGGGTCTCCTTCTTCTGTTGCTCTATTGGAGACCAATAGAGCCTCCCTTGGGCTCAATCACTGCATTGTCACCTGGTTATGTGTGTTGGCTGGCTGTCCCCTTCTCGTGGCTGTGACGGTAAGGACCCCACATTTCCGTGCTTCAGTGCCCACGTCTGACCTGGACATCCCTGGACATGGGCCGGGACCCTGAGCCCCACACTGACCACCGTCCCACCCTGCTGGCCAGTGCTCCTTGGGACTCTGGACATGGGCACGTAGAGCCTCAGGCCAGCCGGGTGTGCGAGGCAGAGAAGAGGAACTGCACTTTGCACAGGCTCCATCTCCAGTCTCAGCCATTTTCCTGCTTGGTCCCGGGGACTCGGGCTCCAGAGCTCCCTGTGCCTCTGAGTCAACCAAAGAAGCTTCTTTTCCGCTCCAGTGGGGAGGCAAGAAAATTAACCACTGTGAGTTCCTCCTAAGCTCCCAAACAGCTGGTAACATCTGAAAGAACAGGATCCCAAACATGTTCAGGGCATTAGCTTCCAATAACCTGGGCCAAGGCTGGCGTCAACATCCCCACCTTCCATGAATCACCGACAAACATCCATTGTTCACCTGATTCTTGCCTTCGATGGGACTCTACCTGAGTTTCTTTTTTTTTTCTTCCTTTTTTAAGACTTTTTATTTATTCCTTTGAGAGAGAGAGAGCGGAAGGAGGGGCAGAGGGAGAGGGAGAAGCAGGCTCCCTGAGGAGCAGGGTGCCCCATGCAGGACTCGATCTCAGGACTCTGGGACCATGACCTGAGCCAAAGGCAGACACTCAACCCTCTGAACCACACCGGGTGCCCCACTATCCTGGATTCCTGAAGCAACAGTACGCCAGACTTCTATCCAATAGGGCTCCTAAGCCCAAGTAACGGGGAGTTACCCAGACCCTCCACCTGCTATACTCAATCGCTTACACTATTCTGGCTCGTTTTTCTATCCTGCACGAAGCCATCCATGGCCCCTCTTGGCTGGTCCTTCGGGGGCCCCTCTGGGTCCACAGACCTGGCCTGCCGGCATCTAGTGGACACTGACAGCCGCACCTTCCAGGCCCTGATGCATGGTAGGGCCCTCATTCACGGCTCCTCTTCTGGCCGCCCCACAGCCCGGGGCTGTGGACACAGAGCCTTCCCCGGCAGCAGCCCCTGCAGACTGCCTCCTTGGTCACCAAGGACACCATGTGGCTTGCAGAAGGGAAGTGGGCACAGGGCAGGGATGGCCCCCTCCTCTCCAGCCAGGGTCAAAGGCCCTCTCCAGGGGAAACCCCACTTGCTCCTGCCACAGGCCCAGAGGGCAGGTGTCTCGCTCACCCACTCACTGGGCCCCGGCCTGTCCAGCCAGGCTTTCCTATACCCCCTCAGCCTGACAGGCCCTGGCATCCCATTCTCCGGTCCCAGAGCCCACCCCACGTGTGCTCCAGCAGGCCCCCGACCTTCTCCCCAGTCTAAACCCATTCCTCTCCCTGCAGGGTGCTGCCTTCCCCCCAGAAGCAGACTGACCTCCCTCTCTGCTTCCTGTCCTGCCCTGCCCCCTGTGGCCTGTGGCAGGAGCAAGTGGGGCTTGCTCCTTGGGCTCCTGTGGGGCAGGAGCAAGCCTGGCACAGGAAATGGGGTGGGAGTTTCCTTCTAGCCTCAGGGGGTCCCCCTCCCCCATGTGGCCCCAACATTAGGCCCCTGCTGGGAGGGGGCTCCCACATGAGCAGCCACAGGCCATCACACCCAGAGCAGGAGGGTTGGGAACATGTGTTTATTTGAGGCACCAAAGCAGCAGGCCGACTCTGATGTGGGGGAGGGGTGGGGGCGGCAGCTGGGGGGTGGCTGACTCCTGGGTCCAGCAGTCCGAACCCAGATGCAGTGGAACCCCGTCTTCCAAAAGGGGTTTGTGAGTGAGTGTGGGCCGCATGAATGCCAGGGAAGAGCAGCTTTGTTGTCGGGGCCCCGGGAGCTCAGCCGCTGCCAATGTAGGTCTTCTGACGCCTGCGCTCCGGCTCCCACACGGCTGGACACTTGCACCGGCACATGCACAGGGGCACACGGACACCCTGTCCACACAGCTGAACCTACACCACTGCCTGCGACAGCAGCATGCCATCCTTCTGGGACATAGTGGCCGTCAGCACGTTTCCACCCCACCTGAGGGCCAGACCTGGGGGCCCACGGCCCCTCCCGGTGTGTCCCCAGGCCTCGGCTCCGACTCTGGGACCCTCGGCCCTTCCCGGGTTCCCTGAGGAAGCTCACATCACTGCCTGAGAAGGGAGGGTGGTGGCGGGGCCGGGGGTCGGCGTGACCGTGGGGACCAGGGGCGGAAGGGCCGGGATCGAGCAGGGTGACAGGTGGCAGGAAAAGGCTTCCGTCCGGTGTTGGGGTCGGGGAGGGGCCGGCCTCCCTTCCCGAGCTGCGGGAGTGGGCGCCCCGTCAGGGCCGGAGCCGTGGCAGGGCGGACAGCAGGCTGAGCAGGAGCCCGAGGCCCAGCAGCGCGGCGCTGGCCCGCAGCCCCTGGCCCGCCGTGCTGATGTTGCACAGGAAGCTCTGGCAGCAGTAGGTGCCCACGGACGCCACGCCGAGGTTGACGCTGGGGCTGGGGCAGATTGGGGAGCAGCCCTTGTTCAGGGTGTGGCCGAAGTCCACCAGGTTCCCTGCAGGGGGCACAGGGCGGTGAGGGCGGGGCGGGCAGGCCCCGGGGGGGCGGGCGGGCACTCACTGGGAGAGGCGGGTCTCACCGATGCCGGCAGAAGCGGACACGGTCACACAGTAGTTGTCGGAGTCAGAGCAGACGGTCGGCTTCAGGCAGTAGAAGTTGCTGTTCTGATTCGTGCACGAGAAGCACACCAGGCAGTGGGCTGCAGAACAAGGGGACACCTGTCTCAGGGCCCGGGAACCTTCAGGGGTGACCCCTCTGCCGCTCCTCCCCTTCCGGCCCCCCCTCACTTCCCAATCATCTGCAGATGTTAATGGAGCAATTATCATGCCCCAGGACTTGGCCCTGGAGGAGGAACTCCCGTGACATCCAAATGCACAGGGATAAGTGTGCCAGGGACAGAACTGGGGCCTCCAGTGGGAGCAGGAAGGAGTGACCCGCTTTGTTGGGGGAGAGGACCTGTCAGGCTGTACAGAACAGTCATCCGGGAACAGGCCTGAAGGCCCCCGGGCACAGCTAGGGAGAAGGGAGAGAGTCCAGGAGGACAGCGGCTCACCCCACGGCCAGGGACCCCCGGGACATCTCACCTTGCTCCGCGCCCAGAAGGGCCGCCAGCAGCACCGGGAGAAACACCTTCATTCTGGACGAGGCAGGGGCCTGGTCCCGGGTCTCACAAAGCCAGAGATGCTGGTCCTGCTTGGAGAACACTCACTGGAGGACCGTGCTGCCGCCCCGCATCCCCCTCCTCCCAGTGGGAGCCCAGCTGCCTCCGTTTCACAGCTGGCGGGTGGGACCTGGCCTGGGCAGCAGCACAGCCTGCACACAGGGCCCTTCTGCTCAGCCTCTGAACCTGCCCCTCGCTGGAGGCACACTCCTCCTGGGGAGGCCCCTCCCCAAGCCTGTGGTGCCAGCTGTTGGGGCTGGATGAGGGAGCCCATTAAAGGTCTCAGGATCACACAGGGAGGGAGGCCAAGACAGTGGCCCTTGCTGGTGGTCTGAGGGATGGGGGGGGGGAATAGTGACCAGTGATATAAGCTGGCCAGCATCCAGAACTTTCCATAAGCCAGCTCCGTTCCTGACAAGACTCAGGGTGGGCTGGGTGCACGAGGCACATCTAGCTGAGCACCCGCCTCCAGCAGCTTCTGTGCTGTGGAGACAAGGGGTGCTTCCCATTCTGTATGTTATTCAATGCTGACGACAGCGAGCCTATAAATATCTGCCATTCCCCCATTTTGTGCCTGAAAAAGAGGTTCAGTGAGCCTCGGCTAGGAAGATACGAGTCTATGGGGGCTGCCTGGTTCCCTACCCCAGGACCCTCTCCCGGGCAGAGACCCAGACCAGGGCGGTGAGTGCAGAAAGCACTCTGAGGTGACCAGCTGGGTTCCGCCTCCCTGTTCAGGAGGCACGGTGTGGGAGGAGCAGTCTGGTGCCTTCTGCTGGGGACAGCCACGAGTGGGGGAAGGGCATCCCGGGCTTTGGAGCACGTTCCCAGACTCTGGGAAGAAGAATGCCAGGGAGAGAACAGGCTTCCCCCACCCTGGGCCTGGGCTGACCTCTTGGGGGCAGGGGCAGGAGCTGTAGATGCCCAAGAATGGTGCCCAGCCCAGGAGGAGCCTGCGCACCAGATCCAGGTAGTTCAGGGAGAAAGGAGCCTCAGTTTCCTCCTCTGTAAAGTGAGGCTTGAGCATGGAGAAGCCCTGAGCGTCCTCAAGGATGCTCTGGGATGCACACTCACCAGTCACAGATGGTGTCTGCCCCCGCCCCCTCCCCTGCCAGGCACCCAACCAAACAGCCCCCACTAGGCTGGGCTGAGCTGAGGCACTGGATGGGTCAGGCAAAGGGAGCCCTGAGGCGACCCAGTGGGCCTGGGGACACTGCTGTTTGGGACCCAGAGGCCCACTCCTCCCCCAGGCTCCCGGGGCTGGTTTCTGACAAAGCCAGGCATCCGCTGACTGGGGGCCAATGGAGAGGTAGGAGCCTGGTCCTTGTCCCGGAAGATGGGAAGCAGCCAGGTGGCTCGGCAGGGGGTAGGGCAAGGGGGCCCTGGGTGGAGGCGCCCCGGCACCGCCGCTTGCTTAATCCTTGGCAAACAAGGAGCTCTCGCCCCCTCCCGGGTAGGCTGGTCCCCAGGGCGGCCCACCAGGGCTGCTTCTTCCCACCCCGCGGGCCCCTCAAGATGCCAGCTCCGTTCCATAGTCAGCAAGGCTGCCCCTCGCCCCACGGGAGACGCGACGGGGAGCGCAGAGTTGGGTGGTGGGCCCCACGCCCGCGCGGCTCTGGGTCACCCGGCCGGGGAGCGCGCCGCTCCCGCCCGGTCCTGGGAAATACTGGGACAGGCCGGGAGGCCGGGGGCGGGGGTGAGGCTCAGCCCCGGGCCGGGCCCACCCGCCAGGCCCGAGCCTCCCCGCCTCCTCGCGTCCCCCCGCACCCCGCGCGCACCCCTCCGCCCTGCCCCGCTCCCCGCCCGCCCCCGCCCGCGACTCACGCGGGGCGACGCGTCCACGGCCTCGCCGAGCTGCCCAAGCCTGGCGCCCGAGCGCACGACAGCCCGGGACTCCCGGCAGCCGAGGGGGCGGCGGCGGGCGGAGTCGGCGCTCCGCGGGCGGGGGCGGGGGCGGGGGCGGGGGGCGGAGTCGGCGCCCCGGGGTTGGGGGGCGGGGGGCGGAGTCGGAATTCCGAGACCCGGGCGGGGCTGGCGGCCCCACCGCCGGCCCCACCGCCGGCCCCACCGCCGGCCCCACCGCCGGCTGCGAGCCCAGCCCCAGGGAGGTGTCGGCGGCCTCTCCGGCCGGTCCTTCTCGTCCCCCCGCGGGCCTGCGCGACATCACGGGGCAGCCCGGCGGCCGTGGCGCGGTGTGGCGGGGGGCGGCCCTACAGAGCGAGCTGGGCGGCTCGCGTCCCTTCCGCCGAGTGGGGCGGTGGGAGCATCTCTGACACGTGGGCGGGCCCTCAGCTGGGCCAGGCCGCCGCCTCTGCCCCGGGCCCTCTGTGGTCCTGCAGGACCTGGTCCGGGGTCTGAGCCGTTGGACCCCCTGTGCGGGGGGCGGGGGGGGGGCGGTCGCAGGGGGCAGGGGTCGTGGGCCGCGGGGGATCCCCAGCGGGAGGTCCACCTTTGCTGGTTCTGGACCCCTTTTTGCTCTGGGGTCCCTGTTACGTGGCTGCCCCACCTGGCCCAGGGCCTCGGCAGGATGCTCCCAGGCCCCCAGCTCAGGGCGGCCAGGGGATCCTTCCCAGAGCCAGGGGGTTGGGCGCCTCCCTGGGCAGAGCCTGGAGGCCTCGCAATAAAGCCAGCGTCCCCAGTCTGGCGGCAAGCGTTCTGGCCTCTCCCCAGTAGCCCTGCCTGGACGCGCCCCACCCGCCGTGGGCAGAAAGGCCGCGCTGGGCTGTGGGCAGAGGGGAGGCCAGCGGCACCCCATGCCCTGCATCCTGCTTCTCATTGGCCAGGACCAGAGAGCAAAATGGAGAGCAAAGCAGCCTCGGAGCTGGAGGGGGAGAGGGGGCTGCGTGGCCCTTCCTCCCTTCTCTCATTTGCAGGTTTCCTCCTCCTCCTGTGGGAACTCGTGCAGTTCAGCTCGCTGAGTGTGAGCCACCTGCTTGTGCTGGAAATACACTTCACAGTTTCACATCACGCTTCCTGTGGGGAGCTGCGGCACCTGACCTTTTCTCTCAGCCTTTCTGGGTGGCACCAGCAGTGACAGTGGTGGCAGGTGCCAGGGGAAGTGGCTTCTTACCTCTTACAGTGGGGTAGGACAGGCGAGGGGGAGGGAGCTGAGGCGGAATGGCAGGGGGGGAGCTGTATGGGAAGAGGCACCCTGTAAAGGACCAGCCACGTGGGAAAGGACTAGGGGTATCTGAGGCGCCATGTGAGTCTGCAGGGGTATGAGTGAGTGTGTTTGGTGTGTATGGGTATGCTCGTGTCTTCACAGTTTTGGGATCAGGGTCACACGTTGCATGGTTTTCTTTGATATTCGGATGATGGGGGGACGCATCAACTTGGGAAGGCTTTGAGGACTCTTTCCTTGGAGGTTGAAGGTGGGGCTCACGTGTCCCAAATTCCCCAGCCAGGAGTGGCGGCATCTGTGGGGTGCCACACTTCCCTGGGGGACCGGCCGTGGGCCCCAGTCCTTGGTTAGCCCTCTGGATCTGACCTGTGGAGGGCAGGATGGGCATCTGGTGGGGCTGCTTGACCCTTTCCCCACGCAGCACCTCACTGCTATCTTAGTCTGAGCTTTGGGCTTAGCCTGGAAGAGGGGAGTGTGAAGCTCCTTTGGCAAGTGGAGCCCCTTGCCCGCCTGCCTGGAAGGGGTTTGGGTGAATTTTGGTCCCCATTAGAGGCATGCACTTCATCTTGGGCCTGCCCGTGAGTTCTGGTGTGGGGTGCTTGCTTGTTGATTCTGTCCAGCAGGTCAGGCCTCGAAGACCGGGGATTCCACGTGGGAACCCTCTGGCCTGTGGTGGGCGCTCAGCAAGCATTTGTGGGTGAAAGCATAAGTGGGCTCTGACCCACTCAAAACCTGACCCTGTGATTCAGAGGGCTCTTGTGATCTTGAACAACCAACTCACAACATGTCCCCAAGGTCACCGCCGCAGAGCAGCCATCAGACTCCAAAGTCCTTTGAAAATGTATCTGCACATGCGTGGCCAAGCCAGGGGTTTGTGCAAGGCCTGATGACATGATCTGTGGGGTCCTTCTGAAAACCAAGGCAGGGAGGCTGGGCTGGCTCCCTCTAGGCTTGCTCTTGGGCTAACATGAACGACCCTCCGATGAACATCCTTGTAGATGTAGCTTCGGTTGAGGATTTCCCCACGACCGATTCCTAGAAGTAGGAAGACTGGATCTCGGGTTCGTTTCTATGAGGTGTTTCAAGGTACAGGAAAGATGGTAGGCAGGTCCCGACGGGCGAGTTGAAGGGGTGGCTGTTGCGGCTGGGTTAGAGGGTCATGCCCTCCACCTGTTCCTCCTGAAGGAGGCCTCACATCCAGGGCTTGGCATAACCAGCCACATGTGCCCCCTGGGACTCAGGTGATGCCAGGGGGCTCCTGTATGAGGCCCACCCACCCCAGTGGACCCACTCACGCTGCCCCCCTCAACCCTGAACTCTGGGAACCTCTTTCGTGCGTGCCGGACACCTCCTGGAATGGGCAGGTAAGAGTCCACCTGGTGGAGGGTCTGGTTGTGTCTGCAGACACCCCTGCCTCTGCTTCTGGGTCCCTTTCTGGGCTCGCCGAGTTCTTTGGGCTGTGCACACTACCTGCTGATTTCCTTGGTCAGCTCCCCACCGGGGCGGCGGGGGCGCAGGCACTGAATGCTTTTTTGTTGCGCGCCCCAGTCTGCCCACCACTTTTGGGCAGACCCTGTCTTGAGGAGGGATCAGGGGGTAGACGGAGGGGGGTGCAGCCTAGGCGAAATGTCCCTCCACATGGGCACTCCCTAAGAGCTGGTGCCCCCCGCCCCAAGGGCAGCTCTGCCTGGGCCCAGCACCCCTGCCCCGCCTCAGGCCACCACCAGCCGGCCAGGTGGGTCCAGAAGGCCCTGCTGATAACGGCCAAGTCAGCCGGGGGAGCAGACGGCGGGCCGGGGCCGGCCTTCCTGCACCGAGACCAAGTGGTGACGCGCCTGCGCAGGTGACCCAGCCTCCTGCCACTGAGGCAGGTTGGCCTCTCCAGCCTCGGTTCCTGCTTCCTGGGAAGGAAGGCGAGCACAGGGAGCAGCTTGGAGGTGGGGGAGGGAAGCTGCCCACAGAGGTGCCTCCCCCAGGGTGTATGCAAACCTTTAGTCCTGCTTCTGGGGACTTCTCTCCTGGCAGAGACTGCTGGAGTTTGGGTTGCCAGCCCTTTGAGTTTTGGGGGAGGGTGCATCTGGGCTGCCTCCCAGTCCTGTCCAGGGTCTGCCTCCAGGTGTGCCGTGGTCAGACAGGTCTCGAACTGGGAGAGATGGGTGCCCGCTGCCCTCAGTCTGCAGGGGCGGGGGAGGGTCAGTGAGATGGAAGAGCTAATTAGGAGCCCTGCTGGGTTGGGGGGGAGCCGAGCTGACAGGAGCCTGGCACTGGGTGCTGAGGCCAGAGAGGAGGCCCAGGAGTGCAGGCAGGGCCGTTGCCCTAGTCTGGCATTGGGGCCTCTCATCCTACGGGAAGTGCACGCCTGGCCACCGGGTGGGTCAGCCCCCAGTAGACGTCTGCCTGTGGGGAGAGGGTGTTCAGGTGCTGCTGGCAGGTGCTCCCTGCCTCCTCGGGCTCCGGCATCAGTGTCCCAGTGGCCCTGTCTCTTCCCCCTGGAGCTGCAGGTCTCTGCTTAGGGGTCCTGTGGGGAAGTGTGCAGACCCTGGCCCTCCTCTCTTGCTGCCGTGTCTCACGGAGGGGCCAGGACCCTGGGGCCAGTCCCTGAGGCCCTGGCTGGGACGGGCCAAGGCCTTGTCTGCCAGTGGGAGCTCAGTGTGTGAGGAGAGCCGCCCTAGGGGTTGGGGGCTGCTGGTGGGGTCACACGGTGTACCCGCTACCTTACCTCTGGGCCCAGCCCCACATCTCCAGGTGGAGCCTCAGCCTCTCAGGCTGGCTCCTGCTCCTCCCAGAGAACACAGCAAAGTGCTGCTGTGATTGCAGAGCTGCAGGCTCAGCTCACTGTCTGACATGCTCCCACCCCAGGGCCTTTGCACAGCTGTTCCCCAATCTGGAACAGGAAGTGCACTCCAGACCTCCTTGGCCTGCACCTTGCTTCTCTGCTCCAGTGCCCGGATCAGAGAGATCTGTGTCTTCCTGCCTGGGACGCAGCCGGCACTTCTCCTTGACGTAGAACACTGCTCGGCAAGTATTAGGTGCTCGATTAATAGCAGGATGAAGACATTTGCCTGGAAATACAGCTTGAGAGCTGATGTGGGCTAGAAAGCCGCACTGAGAATTTAGAAATGTGAGATTTACTATAAATAAATAAATAAATAAATAAATAAATAAATAAATAAATAAATAAAGTAAAATGTGTGATGCTTGCGAGCAGGGCGCTGCAGGGGGCCTGATCGGCAGGAGGGGGTGTGGGGCCACCGTCCCCAGCCCCTTCACACACAGGACTACAGGCTCCTGTAGACACAACCTGGGAGCCACCTTAAGTGGTCCAGTGGCCAGCTAGGCGAAGACCCTGTGGCTGTGGTGGGCGACTCTGGATGTCCGCAGGCTGAGTGCTGTGGAGACCCCTGCCCTTGTGACTTGTCCCGGGGGGGCCAGAACAGTCAGGATCTGGTCTGGGGAGATAATCCTTTAAGTGTCTCCAGGCTCAGGACACAGGAAGCAGCAGTGAGGAAGCTGCTGAGAGGCCACCTGGGTCTGGGGGGGCTTACACTGGCTGCGGGCTGAGGGGGTGCAGAGGGCAGGGGCCTCCATTGCAGCGATGCCCATGGAGGTCCCTACCTGAGTGTGGCTGGAGTGGACACCACCTCTTCCCTCACAGGGCCCCTTCCCTCCGCCCTGATTGAGCAGTGCACCTGCTGCAGGCCATGAGGCTGGTCCACCCCAGAGGCCGTGGTCACTCTGGTCCAGCTGGTGCTCCATCTTCCTGAACAGCCTATGGATTTGTTCCTGCTTTTCCCGCCATCCCTGCCCTGGGTCCTGGTCAGGACCCCTCAGGCTGGCCCAGCAGATCTCCCCAGCTT